GGCTAGATGCCATTTTTCTTTCTTAAGTTTCTCTTCCTCTGCCACCACCCTTGCTATCAAGTCATTAACTGACCAAGTCTCATCTTGGGAATTGTAATTTGTCTTTATAATCCCCAAATCAGGTGGAAGGGTGTTTAGGGCTTGATGCACAATACAAGCATCAGGAATGGAAACATTAAGAGCTTGAAGCTTCGTCTTTAGGTCTACCATTCTAAGGACATAATCTCTAACCCCAGCAGTACCATCATACTTCATATTGAAGAGCTTTTGAAGAAATGTACCAACCTCAGCATTTGATGAAATGCGGTTTCTAGCCTCTAAGGCTGCCATCATCTCCTTAGCAGTACAATCAGCTGGCAAACCACTTTTCAAGTGTTTTTGAATGGATTTCTTCATTGTCAATAAGCAAATCCGATTGCTCTTTTCCCAGGCAGCATTGTCCGTTTTCTCAGCTTCAGGACTGGTGGCCGTGATATCTGCAGACTTATCCTTTGTAAGAGCAATGTGAACATTCGCCAGCTCCATTCCAAATAGAAAATCCTCTTTCCATTTCTTAAAGTTCAACCCAGTAAGGACCTTAATGGAAATGGAATTGCCGTTTACAGAAAAGGTGACTAGAAAACAAACAAACAATACAATCAGTATCATGTGAGTACTTATCCAGAGAGTTACATACATCATCACATAATCACCTTTGGGCAGAAAATATGACATGCAGTTGTACACTCTCCACATGACAGCGGCCATGAAAACATATTCTAATCTTTCGTGAAATCACCACCTTTGGGTGTATGAACCACTAAGATCAGTCATTTCTCAAGCACATGCTATACATGTACCCCTCCATGAACCAATACAAGATCACCTCCTTTGGGAGTATGATCACGCAATAGAACATGAGACATCCCACCACAATATGAGATCGATATTTCTCAAACCCAGTCAAGTGTGCTGCTTTGGTGGTCACTACCCAACTGAATCTTTGAAAATCTCTCATACTAGGGATATGAGCTTTATGTATCACATTCACTATATACATGTAATGCTAGATGTAAAGACAGGGGCGTACATCTCTGAAATTACACGTCATGCTAATTATACTGGTCCATTCATTGATAGACAATGAATTACACTCTACACAATCCTTATGTGGTGATATACATGTGAGCTACCATATGCATTTCCGAAACCATAGAGAAATACAAGAAAATACACAAAAATACCCTAAAAATATGCGTATATAGGGTTCTATACGTATTTTCACATCTGTAAAAAGCTTCAAACATGTAAAATAAATACACCACAATGTAGAAAATCTCGATACGAGCGCGTCGGTACCAAGAACGTCTCAAACGGACACTGGACACGCCCTCACGCGCCGCCGGAAGGCACGGCACGTGCGCGCGTGTTCAGCCGGTCCGACCGGTCAACGGTAAACGGACCGGTTCAACCGGTTGATCGATCGGGTCAACAATCGGGTCGGGTCGGGTCGAAACTCGGGTCAGGTCAACGGTCGGGTCGTGTCAAGATCCAGGTCAACCCGGATCCGCGCCCTCGCTAACATCAGCCTGCGATTACCGGCGGAAAAACATGCCGGTTCAGCACGGCCGCACGTGAGGGCGCATGCGGCCTCGTCCGGTGACGTGCCACCCGTCAATCTTCTCGTCTCGATGAGTAGATTCCGAATATGTAATAAAATTTTACATTCAACCGACAAAAAATTTCGAAAATGGGTAAAAACCTCTCGGACATAACGAAAATGGTCCTAATCCGCATGTTTCAGTTCTAATCTATGGCAGGCTCTGATACCACATGTTGGCCACGAAAATGGCATGCCCAGGATCACCATAATCAGAAAACGAAACACGTTAATGGAGAGAATTATTGATTCGCGTACCTGGTTTAGAATCCATCGAACTTGACGCGGAATTTGCGACGGTTTCCGAACACGAACTCAAGTGCTTCTCCCCCCTATACCCTTCGTTAGAACACTGGCCTAATGAGATTGCCACTCATGAGAAGAAAGTTCTCTCTAGATCCGTATGTGAATCAGATTGTGCATCATCAGGTTAGGGGAGGGACTTGAGCGCTATTTATAGAGTCTCTGACCACAGGCCCTCTCATTACGGGTCGGGCCGTACTCGGCCCACACCAGCCAGCCCCATATTAGACATATTAAGAACCCATATATCTTACCTTTATTAGACCAAACTAATTCAGTTAATTTCAATTAATGAAGCCCACGTTAGGAAATTCTTACGAATCAAGGACTTCACTGGCAACTGGCATTAGCCATCGATCATGACAACTTCAAACTTTCGACGCCTTTATCTTTTGCATGGTTATTTGCTGAACGCTCCATTGCAGGGATGATCATGAGTCATGACAGATGGTGCTACTCCAGGTGGATTAACTACTTACGCTCACAGATTCCCACTGACCCTATATATGTTTTGGATTGCAAAAGCACACATAAGAGAGGCCCAGGTTAAATCTCCGAACTGCACGGCCCATGAGGAACAAGCACTGGACAAGAGCAGGCCCGCTTGAATTGTTCCCATCGAGGCCACATGAATAAACTAGGCCAGACTGTAAAAACCCAGAGGAGGGAGAGTATATGGAAAGAAAGGATGCGTAAGTAGGCATAGGTAACATAGTCAACAGTCTTAGTCCCAATCATGAAACCTGAAAGCAACAATGGTGAAATGACGAGTGTTTACTGAAAGAAGTACCGGCGACAGCGGCGGCAATTGTTGGAAAGAGGTGGTCATATCGGTTATGGTTGCCAAGTAGTTACAGCATCTACGATGATTTAGTCGAGGATGGTGACCGAGGCGGAACTCAGATTATAACGTGAATTATAAAAGAGACTTAAAACTCGAAGAAGACCGGAAACTTCATATGGGAAATTTCATTGCATGCGCTCCTTGTGGGCCTATTAAAGATAGACCGCTGACCAGTTCTCCAGGACTTCCACCGCATGGACAAAATGGTATACCCTAAACAACCATTCTGCTGAGAGACAACCTCAGAACAACTGCACCTAGGATTCCAGAAACAGGTGGAGTTGCTCGCCCACTTACATCAGCCAGACTAACTCATCGATCAATAGAGCTCAACTAAAGTTCAACAGTTCAAGTAGCTTGTGCTTCAAGCTCAGTTCGAGTTTAGTTAAGACCCGAGTGACTCCCGAACCAATCTTGCTTAAACTGCAATTATCTTGACAACCAAACCAAATCAAGCTGAAAGCTACTGCATTTAGTTGAGCTCGATGTTAGGAAGTCGAGCCTGAAAAGTCAAGCTTAATTGAGTTCGCGTCGAGTGCTGAATCGTGGTTTTTTTTTTTTTTCAGCCAAAGCAAGTCTAATGATCTGAACATACCTTTAATCTCCATCCTTCCTCTTAAACTCACAAATCTTGGGAAATTAAGGTTCAATATCGCTGTATTAGATCAGGTTGATAATGCATACAGAAACGATGGTATCTCTGTTAGGACCAAAAGATAAAAGTTTCGTGCGTTTTCTTACGATCTGATTGATTATGTTCGGATGACGATATAATGGATTAGATCATGCAAATGATTCGTCAACAAAGAGTCTTTTCACTTTACATAGTTGGTAAGAAGCTCATCGCCGATGGAATTCAGGTATCATAAATCCGACATGGCTATTGCATAAAATGCTTGGTCATCTCACATGTCATTTCCGACGCTTGAATTTCTAAAAAACACGTTTGATTTCTCAACTATTACATGAACTTACCAATTTTTATTAGTGTAGCTTATCAGTTTTTCTCCTTTTTGTTTATCCAGTTACTTTGATAAAAAAAAATGGTTCCAACAAAATAAATAGTAATTTCATGATAACATTAGGAAGCTACCAACATTGTTAATTCGAGTAAAAAGAAGTCATTAGTTTTCTTTCACCAACGGTTGTGACACCTACCAGCACTTACTAAAATTTACCGACATGGAAAAAACCAGCATTTTTGGGCAAAAAATAATATTATTTTGCTCTGCGTCGCTATATTAATATTGAATCCAATCATATCCACGTGCAAATGATCGTATGTACTCATTTAATTTTGTATCTGATCAACTTCCAAATAAGCGATAGATCTTCACCATTTTATATCATATATAACTCTTATCCCGTCCTATCCAATCAAATTGTCTAGAGGTTATATGCGACCTAATTTCACCCGAGCAAGTGAAATAATAGCAATGCAATCGCCACGAGCCTCCGTTAGAAAATAAAGCATTTTCTTGGTCATGCTAACGAGAAAGTGCAAATTAATTATCCTACTCCATTTCTCTCGAATTTCAAATTTCCGAATTCAAATCTTTTCAATTACAGAACAGCAACTTTCACAGCAGAAATATGTCGAAACATTTTTCTTTTTCAAAATGTACTGTGCCCATGTTTTTGTGTCGTGTGTTTTCATGAATCCATTTTTCAACGATTCAAAGTTTTCTTCTTTTTTTTTCCTTTCGGTTGAAAATTTCGAAGTTCTTTATTTCTTTCTTTGTGGTTCTTAAATTCAAAGTTTTCTTCAATAAGGTGGTCTTTTTCCCATCTTTTGAGCGCACACATCGCACGACATACTCGCGAGCCAGGAAATAAAAAAAAAGGTTTGAAAAATGAATTTCGGGTCCACAAAAGTCGTTCGATTTTTTTCTCCCCGAGCACCCGAGATAATAATTACCTGCGGCGCCCCATCCGATGACGAATCCCAAGCATGAAGCATCGTATGCCACGTCAGATAGATGCGGCATCTTACGGCCCACGGACGGCTTCCGGTTCGAGTCCACGGTAAGCGCCGCGAGGATGCTCGCCCCGGATCCCTACCGCCTGAGCGATTTTTATAACTATTCAAATCAAAAAAGGATTTTGATTAAAAAAAAAGAGAAAAGGAAAAGTAAAGCGAAGAAATCGAGAAAGGCCAATTGAAATCCGGATTTCGAGTCCGTCACAACTGACCAAAACTTCGACCCACGCTGATATCGAAGAAGACGAAGACGAAGAAGACGAAGAGGAAGAGTAGCACCCGCCGAGGCCAACCACCGCCGTCCTCCCTCTCTCCGCCGCCGCCCGCCGCCCCCGCCCGAGCCGCCGTGGATGGGCCAGTCAGCCTCGACGGCCTCATTCCAGGCCCGCCGCGACTCCACCTCCGCCCACGGCCACCACCGCCGCCCCGCCGGCTCCAAGCCGTCGCCCCTCGTCTCGCCGACGATGCTCGCCGGCGGGACCGACGGCCGCGACGCGACCGGCGACGCGCCCGACTGCACCTCCCACCTGCCGGACGAGTGCCTGGCCTGGGTGTTCCAGTGCCTCGGCACCGGCGACCGGAAGCGGTGCTCCCTGGTCTGCCGGCGGTGGCTCGCCGTCGAGGGGCAGAGCCGCCACCGGCTCTCCCTCAGCGCGCGGGCGGATCTCCTCCCCCTGGTGACGTCCCTGTTCTCGCGGTTCGATTCCGTCACGAAGCTCGCCTTGAAGTGTGACCGCAGATCGGCCAGCATCGGCGACGAGGCGCTGGTTCTCATCTCGTTGCGGTGCCGGAACCTGACGCGCCTCAAGCTCCGCGCGTGCCGCGATCTGACCGACGCTGGCATCGCGAACTTCGCTAAGAACTGCAGGGGCTTGAAGAAGCTCTCGTGTGGATCCTGCACCTTCGGTGCGAGAGGCATGAACGCGGTTCTCGACAGTTGCGCGTCCCTGGAAGAACTATCGGTGAAGCGGCTTCGTGGCCTCGCCGGCGATGGAGCTGCGGCCGAGCCCATAGGGCCCGGTGTAGCTGCAGTTTCACTCAAAATCATTTGCCTGAAGGAGCTATACAATGGGCAGTGTTTTGGTCCGTTGATCATAGGTTCCAGGAATTTAAGGACTCTGAGACTGTTTAGGTGCTCAGGTGAGTGGGATAAGCTGCTCCAACTAATGGCGTACGAAGCAAATGGTGTGGTTGAGATCCATCTTGAGAAACTCCAGGTAAGCGATACCGGTCTTGCTGCCATCTCTAATTGCCCTGATCTAGAGATTTTGCATCTTGTAAAGACAGTAGAGTGTACGAATTTGGGGCTCGTGTCGGTGGCCGAACGTTGCAAGCTATTAAGAAAGCTTCACATTGATGGATGTAAGGCAAATCGCATTGGCGATGAGGGTTTAATTGCTGTAGCTAAGCACTGTCCTAATCTGCAAGAACTCGTTCTTATCGGTGTTAACCCCACCAAATCAAGTTTAGATTCGCTGGCGTCAAATTGCCAAAACTTGGAGCGCCTGGCATTGTGCGGTAGCGATACTGTTGGTGATGTAGAGATCTCGTGCATTGCAGAAAAATGTATAGCGCTGAAGAAACTTTGCATTAAGAGCTGCCCTGTCTCGAATGATGGTATGGAAGCATTAGCTAATGGGTTCCCTAATTTGGTAAAAGTGAAGGTTAAGAAGTGTAGAGGAGTGACTTGTGAGTTTGCTGAGTGGTTGAGAGCGATTAGGGGGTCGCTTGCAGTGAGTTTAGACAGTGGTGAACATGAAAATGCTGATGTCAGTACAAGTGAGGGCGGAGTGCAAGACAATGGGGTTGAATTTCCACCGGTAGTCAGCCAACAGGCTGCTGCTAATATTGCTTCATCAAGTAGTGGTCCTACTCGATCTTCATCATTCAAATCTAGGTTAGGGATGCTGAGTGGAAAGAATCTAGTTGCTTGTACCTTTAGAAGGTGGTCAAATGACAGTAAACTTTCATGAAGTAAATATACTTCTGCAATTTGCAAAAGGAAAAAGGTATCGTTGCCTTTATCTGTTCAAATTGATTTTGTATCCTTTTAACATTTCTGTTTTAATGTCCTCATGTAATGTTGGTTTCTGGTTACTGAATTGGAATCCAATCTTTAACTTCAAAAGGTTTAGTTTGTGTTTGCCCACATCCATTTTTATACGTATTTATCCTATTCTTATTGTTGTTATTGTCAAAGTGAACTTATGATGCCGACAACAGAGCATAACAAATGATGTTGCCGGTATAGATGTGGTAATGTTTTGGAGGATGCGGAAACATTTGATTAAAAATCATGAACATGGCAAATCTTTAGAGGATAGTTTTATATGTTTTCTCACATTTCAGGTAGGTGTAAATGTTGCTGCTTTGCCATTTCCTTATGTCCGACAGGAAGGTTATCTGACCACTTCTCTGTTATGTTCTAGTTCACAAAAATTATATGTTGATTTCCTTTTCTTCCATCATCGTTGAGATGTACAGTACAATATCAAAACTTGTCAAACAGAGCAGTAAGAAAATAGGCTCACTTGTACTATTGATTACATCATCGTTGAGATGTAATATCCCTAAGAAATATGTATGAAATATGCATGTATTTTTCCACATTTTGTTTCGTGGTTGCTTATGATGCAAGGATAGAGCTTTTGTTGTGCTCATCTCTTTAAAAGGGAAGTTGTTCTTGAAGTGATGGCATATAGGCCGATCTAAGAAGTTCTTTACACCTTACCGTTGCATGTCATTTCCTTCATCCTTTCATTTTCTCGATCTCCATTCCATGCTGAACGTGTGCAGAAGTTTACAATCACTAACGGTTAAGAGTTTGGTTACTTCATCCTTTCATTTTCTTGATCTCCATTCCATGCTGAACGTGTGCAGAAGTCAACAATCACTAACAGTTAAGAGTTTGGTTACATTTTGGTTGGCAGTGGTGGTGTCATCTGAGACCCTACTAATGTAGTGATATGCATCACTTGATCAATCCGTTCAGAGCGGAGTATGATGTAGTTAATTTTCACTTTGCTTTGTCAAAAGTCCAATATCAAACCGCTTGATTTTAAATATAAATAAAATTACAAGTGTTTGGTAAGCAATGCGCTTGTCGATGGAGCTACACTTTTGTGCATGTACATGTCTCGTTTCTTGTAGTGAAGATTGATATCGCCAGAGCTTTCAATTCTTCTGCCTTTTTCTAGACTGGCAAGACCAAAGTGACGTAGTTTCACTTCCTTTCAATCAGAAAGATGCCAGATTTCGTAAAACAAGTAGATCGGTCCACATATGTTGTTTTAATTTGTATTCAAGCTAGTGTACATCCAAGAGGTACTAGTGGGACAATGTCTTTCTTATCCTATGCGTTTAAGTATGCTCAATTCCTTTTCGATGCGTCTCCATTTACAAAGTTTGGGTATATTTTGATGACTCTTGATGCATACTATTATGTGAATGGGGTCATATGGCGATTCAAGCACGCATTGGTGTACAAATGATAAACATGGGTGCGTTACCGAGTTTACTGAGTGATGGTTTAAGTGCGATACCAACCCATTCTAGCTGTAATTGATTCCAAGTTTCAGGAACTACAAGGTGAGATGGTTTTGGTTTCGATCTCTTTTGGCAATATCAAATTGCAAACAAATGACTTTGAAGTTGGTAGGCCTGTGCATGTGTAAGTGGTCGATGGCTGAGCTGCCTACGTTCGGGAGTGCCTTTTTTGGGTCTTTTCTACAATGCTAATTAGCAATTGAAATGGTGGCTTTAGCTGGAAAGTTGCATTGGCTGGCCTCAACCAGGTCATTCCGCCTAGGAAAGCATGGAAAAGCACATAAAGGTTCTGCACCACCTTCAAAAGTCATTTACTTTAAACTTTGAAGCCGGATATCATGTGATGCGAGTTGCTCATAACATGACTTAGCAACGAAGACATGGGTTTTAGACTTCTGGTGTTGTGTGAGATTGCTGAGTTCAAATGTCAGGCTTGTACAAGTTAAATGACCTGCTCTCGTCTTGTCAATCTTCAAGCCCAATGGCCATTCAAGGAATACCTTGACCCAAATTTGGCTGGCCTCAACCGGGTCGTTCCTTGTAGAAAAGCGTGGAAAAGAACGTAAAGGCTTTGCACCTCCTTCTCCTTCACGAGTCATTTGCTTTAAACTTTGAAGGTGGATATCATGTGACCTGAGTTACTCATGACATGACTTAGTCATGGAGTAAGGTGCTCGACTTCTGGTGTTGCGTGAAAGAGCAATTAGATTGGTTGGTTCAAGTGTGGGGCTTGTACAAGCTAAATGACCTGCTCTTTTGTCTAGTCAATCTTCAAGCCAAGGGCGATTGTATGGAATACCTCGACCCAAATTCATCAATAAAAGGCGACTTCGATTTAAGTAATATCTAGTTTTGAATCAATTGTTCGGAACATATACAAATCTCAAAGCGACTGCCCTTTAATATTGGCGAAGTTGAACACATACCAGTGCACAGAACAGAACAAACTAGTACTAAATTCAAGTGACAGAATTACCATACCAAGTGACCAACTCTCCAATCACCATGACCTTTTTTTAAGATACTCGGACTGGAGACTTTAGAAACTTGATCATAAACTGGTTATTAGCATCAGTATCATATTAGTGAAAAACACCAGAAGCCTCGACGGCATCTTTTCATTCGAAAAAACCTTGTGATATCCACTTAAAGAGTTGACACAGAAGATAAAGCTTGACATTCAAGCAGGCGAATCACCTGACATGACAATTTTACCTATCAACAGGGGCAGTTAAAAGATTAGTGCAACAAGTCACTAGAAAGGCTGGTTTGTAAGCACAAACGTGGGAATTTGATGTCTCCATATCTCCATTCATTAAAGCTGCTGGAGCCAAAAAACCCCTTTGCATCAAGTGACCATAAAGAAGAATCTGGCTATCGTGATTCTGTAACAAGTTTCGAAGGTACACTAGAAAAAAAAGAAAGCAGCAAGGGGAAGGAGCAGAACAAATTGCATAAAGATTCGGACTCATATGTTACCAAACCACCGAGCAATCACTGTTGCCTCGACCGCTGCTACATGATGCAAAAAATGATGGATATTGTATTAGCATATGACTAAACTTATGAGATGGGAATTGCAATATCTAAGGTGCATACAACATGTGTAGTACATCAAATTTTTGCCAGAGAACACTTAAAAAGTGCTTTCTAGATAATCCTACCCCTCAGACCTGACAACAAAAGTTCCTAGCAAGAGACTTACAGATGTGTTCGTATCTGCATCTGCACACATTTCATCTAGTTACTTCACCTGTTGATCCCAATTAGATTGTAATTCGAAATAACGAAGAAGAAGAAGAATAGAAAGAAATCTTCAAGAATGATGGACCCCACTCCCTTTGCAAATATAATGTCCGCGGCACCAGTAAGGCATCATCCAAAAATCTCTCTACTTCATTTTCTTCTCTTTTGCTGCTTGTGGCTTGCTGTAAAAAATGATCTGACTCAAGATTGTTCCGTTTGTCACAATACCAATGACTGAGCCCAAAACAACTGTTAAAAAGGTTAAGGACACCAAATGCTTCATAACTGAACAAATGGTATGAAGGGCTCGTATCATAGCACGAAAGTATCTAAGGAAACAATCAATCTACAGTACCTAAGCTTCCATCTTGAAAATAGAGGTACAAAAGGTCTCAACCAATGGTTGGCTTGTCGCTCAAGTAGTAAATATGGAAAGAAAGATTGCGAGTTCGAAACAAAATGTCTATTGAAGACAGGAGAACTTCAAGAACAACTCACATCACAAAAGAAGTGATAGCAATTATATAAAAGAAGTCAAAATTGCTTTTGTTTGCCGGCATACAAAGTAAGAGGAAAGGGATAAGAAAGCGTGGCTATTCCACAGTCAATTTAAAGATTAAAAGTATAAAACTGTGCATGTATAGTAGCACAGCAAATAGGAGCTGCAGCCGTTGCTGAAAACTACTTGAACATTGCTTTTTTATGCCAGTAGTTTCAGTATCAAAGGAATTACAGCATATTTGAATAAATTCCTTTTCCTTTAATAAGTTCTCGAGTTTTAAAGAAAGTCAAAATAAAATAACTACTCATTTATTTGATATTCTTTGATTTACAGATATTCTCTAATCAATGTGAAATGACATGAGTACTAAGTACAAGTCCATGCAAAGCACACAAAAATAACTAGTTTTCAATCATAGGTGCTGTCAGCTCGACGTATGTAGGAAGAAACAGTTAAGGATACCACTTGTAGGTGCTTTTTCCTGGATGCTGGTAAAAACTCTGACTGCAAAAAGATATCAAACCAAAATCCATAAACCAATCACATAAGTCATCCTTGAAATGCCAACTTGGTCACCGAAATGCAATTCGACTCACCCATGGAACCAGCAGAATTCATCAATGATGTCAAGAAGCTGAGTTCCCCTGTGCTTTTGTTCTGCAACAAGAGATTGCAATCATTTCTATGACAGAGGCAACTAAAGACACCTGTATGATTGACCAAGGATGCCAAGTAGAATTCAAATTGGAAAGGGAGATAGATGGCTTTATAAATCCGATGCCCTTGAAAGGATTTTCAAACTTCTTGCGGGATTGGGAATATAATGCATTTGAACGCACATGCATAAGATAGAAGTTAAAAAAGTTGCTAATGAGTAGTAAATCCATTGGTGCGGCATGACCAGAAGCATGCCAGAAGCAAGTCTCTTGCAACATTCATAGGCTTAATAAAGCAACATCATATATCCAGATCTTATACCAGGGAGGACACGAACTAATTCCCAATTCTCAAAGAATCAATATGCGCAAATTCTAAGGAACTACGACCTTTTCTATCCTCAACTAGTAAGTTCAAGTATCATTCTCTTAAAGCTTACATAAAAATGAAGTAGGATAAGAACCATATCATATAATATAAAAGAGTACAATTCCTCCAATATTTTCTGTCAAAATCATATGGGACCCTCACCTCAGAATCTAAGATAGCTTTGAGAGTAACTACTGTATCTACACAACTTAGTATTATAACGGTGAATGCACTGCAATTTCTTGCATGAGGGATTCTCGGCTTCCACTTACACGGGAGTTTTCCCATATCTGCGGAACTCTTGCGAAGAAAAATATCGCATGCTGAGATGCCTGCAGGACAGAATGTCAATTTTAAGAAAGCTTTTAAAGGCATAGATGGATGGCAGTTGGAGAAGAAAGAGACTTGTTAATTGGTACTCACGTATAATGCTTCAAAAAGAACAGGATCAATTTGACCAGCTAAAATGGTCGGTGCTACTGCGCAGTATCTGACAAACCCAGTTAAGCAGAGCAGCTCATACTATTATTTAGACTCTGAATTATAAAACCAACTAAACGTGAATCCGCAAAAACGTAAGCAGGATACATTAGAGGCCTGATCCATGTCTTGATTCCCATCGGTTGCGAAAAGTAATACATAATAGCAACTAAAATCATAGCTGAAAAGCAGCCAAGCGAGAACATTAGATCCTGTAGGATAGAGTTTCTTGGAATAGAATAATATATAGAAGTACATGCACTTATCTGGAACATAAGATGGAAAAAGATATGCCGATGACATTTGCAGTTTGACAAACATACTGATTGAATAATATACCCTGATGATGGCTAGCCTCATTCAATAGCTAAATGCAAGATCGCAATCCTAGGGAAAGCTTTTTTCTGTTTCATACAGAAATAGATCTCTTAAAATTTTTGAAATCTTTAAAACCTAAATTTATCTCTGGGGTTCTTGGCCAAGAAACTGCTCAAACTTGGCTCAAGTTGGCATTGTTCTTGGATACCAGAACTTGCAACATCATAATTCTATGGAGACACAAATGAAAGGTTTAATTCAGTATTAACTATGCCTGCCACAAAAAAAATTCAAGTGCATTCCATGGTGTGCTGGAAATATACAGAAATTGTCACTTAATATAGAAAAAGAAAAAAAGCCATTGTTCGATTAACAGATTCATCACGGAGTCTATTTACAATTGCTAGTCCAAATCATATTTTCCCCAATTGATAATATAGAATGAGATTTTGACTGAGAATACTTTTTAAAAATGCAGCACACAATTTTTCTTCATAAAATTAGGCCACAATCTTAATTTCCTTAATAGTATGAGTGATCTTCTGATCATCAGAATTTGATTGTTGAGTAAACTAATAAAGTTATATCTTGAGAGAGAGAGAGAGAGAGAGAGAGAGAGAGAGAGAGAGAGAGAGAGAGAGAGAGAGAGATCCCTCAAAGTTTGATTTCACTGAAAAGACAAAGCAATTAGGTGCTGGTCAGTTACCATCACCATGCCATATTTTCTTGCATCCCTGGTTATAGGCAGAAAATTTCTCCAACCATGCTTTTGATTGGTGGATTACAACCAAGGATATTGCCCATACAAAATTTTGCATGTGGGTCATGTCTTGTAATCAACTAATCAGAGACATGGTTGGAGAAAATTTCCTCCAATCATGAATGGAAGAAAATATTTACATCAAATAGGCTGGTAGCAAGATATAGTTGCCGGTGACGTACTTTTCATTATCATACAGCCGCTGTTATTCGATAAAAGATGCATGTGCTTCTGATAATGCTAAGTTGATGTGGCTAAACAAATGTTTCTTTAGGGAATTCCTAGATTACTCAATTTTGTAACAATATCCACAAAGAAGAGCTCACACAACCAGTCACTTCTCAAAGTTTGCTCCGGCAGATTGTTTTTTTCGTCATCCTGTTTTTCCTTTGGCCAGAGTTTTTTCCTTATCCTAACTACATTAGATTCGCACAATTGGACCATGTAAAAAAAATTAGCATCCGATTTGGTACCACTCTGGTTCTACTATTGCCCAGCCAGTCAAATTGTGATTCTGATGCTTGTACGTGAAGTGGAAATGCATTGCATTACACTTTTAAGTTTCAGAGTTTTATAAACTGTATTTGATCCATGGGAAGCATCGCATTACGACGCAGAAATTTCTAACATCGCCCATACATGAATGCAGATTAAGACAAACCTTGGATAAGAAGAAATGCCAATTCACCATACGCCGAAAAGGGGAGCTTTTTGTGGAGACAGTATGCCAGAGCAATAGTGTAACCCACCACTTCAAGCTCAAAGGCCACCATGCTAAGGCCCCTAATACTCCTATGCTTCAAAATCTTCATTATCTGCAAGAACACAAGCCCCAAGACCACAGAATCAGACAACAATATCAAAACAACTGAAGCCTCGCAGCAACTCGTTCTTAAGTAGCGTCTCCTGCGGCAAGATTCAAACTTTACCCCCAAATCAACCTCTAAATTTGCTTTCCGAGACGAACAATTCGAACCCGATTACACAAGTCATCCAATTTTTGCATAAACGGGTCGAGCCTCGCATCGAAACCTCGCATTCTTCTTTTAAGAGAGCAAATCAGGAATTGAGCTCCGTCCTCAGGCACTCCGCGAGTAGGAGGGGCGTACTAATTAATCACGGTTTTGGAAAGGAAAGAATTCGGACCCATTCGTGCTGCTGATTAGGTAAGAGAGGATCGATAAAACCCATGATACAGAAAAGGGTTACGGTCCGGGTATCAAGAAGAAGAAGAAGAACCTGAGGGAGCTTGACGGTGGTAGAAGCGGCGACGATGCCATAGCCGAGGATCTTGGACAGCAGCGGGAGGAGGCAGTCCTTCTCCGGGATCTTCCCGTCGCGAAGGGATCCGAAAGCGCAGCTGAAATCGATCCCGAAAATCTCCATCCCTGTCGATCCAAGAGCTCTTCGGTTTGACCCAGAGAGAAAGAGCGGGCAATTCCAGGAACCGTACGTAGTACTTACTGATCTGAAAATCCGAGGGCTTTGGGAGCGTGCGCGCGGGTCCGAAGTGCAGTAGTCGTATCGAGTTGGGGAGGCTGTTGTTTAATTACGAAGTTGTTTTTGTTTAATTCAATAGCCATGCTAACGTGTGTTGTTGTAGAGGCAATTGCTAAATTTACTTAATAATGAATATTTACATGTATTAAGAGAAGAATTAGTGTATACAAAGATGTAGACTATTTGTTGTTGATTATTGATAAGAACTCTTGTGTGCTCACATGAAGCCTCGTACGAAAATTTACGGGAAAAGAGAAATTAAGTTTCCACTTCCATGTTTTGTTTTTTTTTTTTGTTTCGGGTTGAGTCAGATTTGTGCTTGCGTGATCTGGTTCACTATCGTTACTAGAAAATTTTGAAGTTTGGTTCCGGTTAATATTGGTTCTTTTTAATTCCGTACAAGATTAAATTTCCCGAGACGAACCGAAGTATTCAATCTAACAATTTCGTATGACACGATTGAATAAACAAAAAAAGGGCATACGAGAATGAAGGTGTTTAGTTTCGAGTTCGAATCGCCTTCTTTTATGTGGGTGGGTGTGATTATGAATCCTCAATAAGACTAAGAAAAACACAAGGCCATTAGATGAAGTATAGTGTGCTCAAACTTAAGACAGTTAAGGAGCAAATCTTCATCCAAAGTGACAAGAAAGTGTCGGGACAAACTCGAAACATTAAAAACAGCAGCTTTCGGTATCTTCATTTGATGAGCGATACAATCAAACAGAGTAAAGACCATCCTGGGGGCTGGTAAGCTCCAGAGACTGAACCGTAGTAATGAAAACTAACTGATGAGGTTTTTTCTTATCATAACCAGAAACAGTATCGGCGAGCGATGTCACTACACATGCTAGAACGAAGTCCACCCCATTGGCACACATCCACGAAGTCGCTAATGTAATTCTTCCATGAAGATTTCCTAAAAGATTAAAGATGGCGAATTGAGTTTACCTGGTGGGTAATATAACTCAAGCCTCTAGTTGAAGGCAGATATGGCGGTTAAGCCCATTGAAAGGAGCCAGAGGTTGCCGGATACGTTGGGGAACTGTATTAATATGGAGGAGGTGGGGATGGGGATGGGCAACACTGGAAATGATGGTTGCTGCTGCCCGAGAGCAAACGAATGAACCGAGGTCAAGGTCACCGTTGTTGCATACGGTGGCAGTGGTGGTTGATAAGCGCTTGCTGGAGCGTGCTGCAAAACCACAAGACAAATTACATCGCTTTGCTTAGAATAAAGACGCAAGTAAACATATAGATGCAAGAAACTATGTCGAACTAACGGTAAAATTTGACCAGCAATGCATTGTGAGCTCAACTTCTCCACCATGCCTATGAAACCAAGAATCAAATAAAAAAAACAGGTTTCAGGAATTGAGATACAGAAGGCATTGAACAGAAAAAGGTTCCGTGGCAGAAGAAACTCTCTGGCAATCCTCTTTAACTTGTTATGCACATCTTCGTAAACTGGCTGGGCAGTGTCATCGAATCTGAGCAAGATACCCTTAATCAATTGAATCCTAGAGAGTAATGGTTCTTGAAGTCTTGGAGTCGGAAGACATTTTGAATTATTTGAGTTCTGAACATTGAAAGAAGTGGTATGATCTCTTCGGGGGTAATTATACACTTGCCTTCCGTCAACCATTTACCTTTCCCAAGGAGAAGATCTCATAACAAGAAAAAGTCAAAAGAAAGTGAGATTTAATGCAGAATAATTTTGTACTCTGCTTCCTTGTACATGTGAATCATCAGAAACTGATCGCTTGGCACAGAATTACTATCTACTGACATCCGAAACCAGTCTAGTCGAATGGACAACTGAAGAGAAGAATGATGCAGTTATCAATTACCCACGGACAGAAGATGCCAGAAATCCTTCGTCCAAATTGAAGCCATATATTGATCAGAGAATTCTGATTGGCTGCTCATGGTATTGCTAATTTACAGGGTTACTTAGCATATTTTCCTTGTTTTAAAATACGACAAATGAACTTCTTCTCTTTCTATTTGCTTCCTTGAGCAAATGGGTTCGTGATGCAATCAGAAAGCCATTGTGCATTGATTTAGTCATTCCTCTTCTCAAACAATTCAAAGAATGCAGAGACTTTGACAGTTCATGATTGGAGAGGGTCAAAGTGGACACATCCAAAAGAAAACAGGGAATGATTAGTCACAAACAAGGAATTCTTCAACACACATTTTTTGCCCACAATGAAAAGACTGCATGAGCAATGGCGAGGAGATGATCTGTTGTCTTGAGATATCATAAAACTCCTTTTGTCCCTGTGATGATTGCCAAGCAAAATCAGCAACTCATAGTCCACCAATTACAAGGAGTATTCTTTTTATTTAAATTTACAGTGATCACCTTATCTGTATCGGCATATAGAAGCTCACTTGTTCAGTACCATGCAAAGATCAAATTTCAGAAAAATACATCTGTGGGTGAGCTAAAGTGGTATGCTCGTGAGCATTCCTTTGACACACAAGATAATGACCAACACAAAAACTTCCAACATGTGTGTGGGCGTGCTAACGTGGTAGAATATGTGTATAGCGTTTTTTAAGATATCAGTGAAGATTCAAAGGAAGTCCTAATTTTAAAGATGCCCATCGGACCAATATATGAGCATCGTTTATGCAAATCCTTCAGGCTCAATTGAAGCTAACCATGGCTACCCTTTTTCAGACAAGTTTTTCATATCTCGGATGTTACTGCCTATCTTCCATCTAAAAGAGCTTTCTTGGTGATGGACTTTTGGATCTTCAATACTTGTTAAGTATGGGTGGAAATTCTCGATTTAGCTTTCTGTCTGGAGCATCTCACGCAATCTGCAAGGAGACATTTACTTTTATTAATACATTGAATTATTATATTATGACTTCACAAAACCTCTTGCAGAAGTACAAAATTTTTGCCCAAATGGTGAGTTTCGAGCATCTTCTCCACTGCACTGTTCTTCTTTGAATGTGACGTAGTATGATATGGTGGCAGAGCTGAGGTTAGTGCTTAAACAGCATATGCATATTATGAACAACAAATATGCCCGAAACTCTACTCAACTCTCATGACCGTGATTGAGGATTTGCAACAAGGAAATGTTCTCTGATCCCTCCACAATCTCACAGTAAGGACCAACAAGGCGGGAAAAAAGCATATGCAGCATTATGCAACTGAAAGCATTCAAAGGACTAAGCATACTTCCTCTCAAGTAAATATAACTGGATCCATAAATGGACATGCTGGAAGCCAGGATCAATCGGTCTGCTGATCAAATGCAACATGAACAATAAATACAGCACTATATACATATTTTTCGTCTGACTAACATCAATTAAACTTTCCATCAGTTTGGTAATATTGATAGGGGCTCGCTGCAACTGCTTCACTCTCTGGCAAAGCTGTTTATCCCAATGCTTAAAAGGCAAACCTTCTCACTACGCGCTGCTCTTCTTGCCACCGCTCCCGTAGGCCCAATGAAACTGTGCTGGGGTACGCTTCAGTGCCTTAACACTGAAAGGATTGTTCTTGCTCTGCGGGAAAAATCAACATCAGCAAAATCCAATCCAAACATGTAAAAAGAAATACCCTCAGACAGTAACAAGGCCAGTGCTGAAATATTTACTGATCAAGGCAAGAGCTTTTACAGTACCATCAAGCAGGTCCCTTCATATAAGTTGCAGACCGGGTAGTCATGGGGGCAGCAGCTTTCATGGTCCTCGCAGCACGTGGCGGCCTCAAGCGGGCAGCATCCCCAGGCGAAGCAATAGTTGCCGTACGGATAGACGCAGCAGCAAGTTGTGCTTTCGGGACATGAGTAATAACGATCACAAGTGGTCGGTGGTTTTATTGGAGACGGGGGAGATGGCCCTGGGTTCGGGGGATTTGCGCCTTTCTTGATGGGGTAAGACGCTTCCATTGCGATCCCGCACTTGCCAGTCACAGCATTGGCCAAGTTACGCTCCATTCTGATATAACCCTGCTCTCCCCAGCTATCGCCCCAAGAGTTCCTTACAATCCAGTAATTCATGCCATTTTCTGCGCCATATCCTACGGCGGCCACTCCGTGGTCCAGTGCAGTACCACATCGTCCAGTGAAAATACCCTGCAGATATTACAGTAAAGAAAAATCAGTCGCTGATGCAAGTGGCACAGAACTTTTAAGCTCGATTCTTAGTCTCCTGAGGGATGCATGTTACAATTCAAGAATGCTTCCAGAAAAATGATGGTTGATGATATTCTGTGGGTGTAACTTGAAGAGCAAACCAGCTTACTCAATTCATTTAGGAAGAACGCCTGAGAGATGCATGAGTTGACCCAACAGGAACTTATTTATGAAAAGGGTTTTTTTAAAGTTGCATAAGCTGCAGATTCACAGCTTACTTCATGTTCGTTAATCTCTCTTATGAAAGAGACGCAAAAGTTGTCATGCTCGGGAGAGGACATTACCGACTGGTACAACTGAAATTCCCGACCACCGGCTTCGATGGCCACGCTGACTGGTTGATTAGCGACTGCCTTTTGCAATGCTTTCTCGTTGTTCACTGGAACATCTTCGTAATCATCTATTGCAACAACCTTGGCATTCTTCTGCAGAACAGAATAGGAAAAAAACATGAGAGAATCCTTTTCGAAATGCTTCTCTCTAACCGCCGAAAGACACGCCGATCAATACTGACTCGATATGGGTCGCAACTGCCATCGACACCTTTATACGGATAATCTTCCTCAGAGTCAATGCCGCCATTCTTGATGATGAACTCGAAAGCATAGTCCATGAGACCTCCATTGCAACCTTCATTATAAATAGTATCGCAGTCTACCAGCTCCTGCTCCGACAGTACAATCAGATCACCGGTCACGATTTTGTTTATCCCCTCCACGGCGGCAATGGTGGAGAAGGCCCAGCAACTCCCTGATTTTATCATATTCAATTCAAACACAATCACCTATCCTTTAAAATGAAGTATTAGGGGTCAATATTAAGACTTCGATAAAGATTTACAACCCCAAAAACTTGTTAAAGAGATGCATATAAGTATACGGCAATCCTTAAGTGAGCTATGCAGGTTCGGTTGACATGAAGACCCTACAAGTTCCTATCAGATTTGAGACTTCAGGAGGTATCATCATCTAAATGTTTCTCGTCCCTCTTAAACCATGTCGACGATACCATTTTTGCGCGCATTTTTCGATCTTGTTCGTTTACCCTTCGAGCCTAATGGGTCGCCAGGCCAATAATCAAGTGCGAAGCGGGCACATGAATACTTGTTAATCAGGTAATGGCAGCATTACCATACTAATCACGTATCTCATGCTCTTGCTTTCGCCGGTTCATTGTGTCTAACAACACGGTATTTTACACGTATGAAAGGAACATTCTGAATTCTTTTTACTGTAATATTATCTAACATGATTCCTATATTTCGGCAGAAAATAATCAGAGAGACGATGAGATCTACTGACCGCCACGAGAGAAAATATTTTCCCAGGCATATCTAATCATCTAATCTCCCACGGAACTGAGTACCATACTCTAGTGTCTCAATTTCAAATTCAATCACATGAGCTGGTTCAAGTAGGTACAGTTACGTAAGACCTCTCGCTACGTAAGAGTCGAAAGTTCATTTTCAAAAGGAGGTCGGCACAAGCGGCTTCATCGACACTCTCTAACATCTCTAATCACACGTTCTTAATTAGTCTTTTTTTTCATGTTTTTTTTTTCCTTCACTTCTGCACTAAACTGAGTATCCAAAAACCAAAACCACCTTTACACCAAAACGGATAAGCTCCTGCCCTGCAAATCCCATGATTCAGCTGTCGTATTACCTCTGATATCTCGTGTTAATCAACCCCAAAACGATCTTTCATCTTCGTTTCCCCGAGATTTACTCCAGCATTCAAAAAGTTCAGGTAATGACTCGGTTGTCCCGTTCCAACAAAAGTCAAACTCAACCTAACCCAACGAACTCTTCCTTGCTAATGAAGCACTGCACAAATGGAACACGACACTCTTGCTCTGGCATAGACCATCAGGACAAGACTGCCCTTCACGATCCTTCGTAATTATCATCCCGACCGAGCCAAGAAACATGCAACAGCAAGAAATGATTCATGCAAAGACAAAAGGGGATGGGAAACTCCGACAAGGACAAATAATTCAACAGGAGAGATAAAAACAAGAAAAGACAGCAACCACATGATAAATAAGGCAAAAAAATAGGTTTTTAATCGGCATTCCTTTTTGTTTTCGGTTTCTAACTTACTTTCCCAATTTAAAATTTATCAGTATCGGAAGCTTTATTCAATAAATGTTAACCTTTTTTGAATCACCTGAAAATCCTCGCGATTTTCTAAAACGAAAACAATTTTCTGATTTGCACGTAGAACTCAGCCGCAAATTTTTTTCTCTCTCTTTTTTTTTAATATTTTGCTCCGAGGCAAACCAAGATGTCCGAAACTCACTTTTTTTTTTCCAAGAAATCGTGAGTCATCAAAAGTAGAGGATCGTCATCGGCAGAGACACTCACCGCAGCTTCCCTGGTCCTTGACGCCGCCCACCGCGCCTTCCTCCCTCCAGTCGACGGAATCCGGGAGCGCCTCCCCGACCCGTGGCTCGTAGCGGCGGCTGCTCCGGCCCCTGGCGAGCCTCCTCCTGGCGTCGGGGCGGGCCCCCAGGTACGTGGACCGGTACTCCCCGTTGGTCAGGTCGGCGTACCGGTTGAGGCCGAGCGCGTAGGTCCGGTTCCCGGAGTTGTGCTCGTCGATGAACCGGAGGTTGTCCTTGAAGATCTCGAACCGCCGCTCCTTCTCGTCGCCCCCCAGGGCGTTGTGGTAGGCCTTGCCGTGCTTGGCGAGCCACGACTCGTAGAGGGCGGCGACCTCGGCGTCGGAGCGCCGGCCTGGCTCGCCGCCGTGGGCGAGGTCGTAGCTGATGATGGACATGTCCGAGGCCGAACACGAGGCCAAGAGCCCGAGGAAGAGGAACGCCGCCACCGTGAGTGATCTTGATGGCCCGTGAAGACCCATCTTCTCTCTCTCGCGCTCGGCTGAAGGGGGGGGGGCGTTTGTGGTGGGGGGAGAGGGACGAAGGTGGGAGTGCGGGTGGCGAGTGACGACGACGATGATGGGGGTTATGAAGGAAGAGAAAGAGAGAGATGTTGACTGGGATATATGGAAATAAGAGGGAATGTAATTTAAGAGGAAAAATACAAAGGGAGTAATTTTGGGGGGGGCCAAGATACTAAGATAGATAGATAGGCATTTGAGGAATGAATTGGAAACGGAAGGTGGCGAATGATGGCTCGACACGTGGGGCGCATGCGGGATGAGGTGTGACTGGCCAGCGACCCTCTCAAAGAACGGTCACGCGCAAAAGCTTAAGACTGGCGAGCTCGCCATCGAAGCTCTGCAGATTTTGACAGTCGGGAAATCTCTCTGCTTGAGATATGTTGCCACTAGGTAAGGTTCACTCGTGAATCGGATTTTGTAATTTCGTGAAAAGAAATTGTGACCCTTTTATCATTGGGCTAACTACCTTGATGGGATATATCGGTAATATTTGTTTTATGTCTTATGAAGAGGGGAGGGCGGGAAAAAGCAATGGGGCCAAATATAGGTTAATTTGAAATAACTGGAAATCTGCAAGAGCATCTCAGTTTTGGGTATCACTTACAAATGTCCTTGCAGCTAAGAACACATTTGACGTAAACGTGATTGAATTGCGGTCGTGTGTTACGAAAGTGTTGCGATATGTGCATTTGGTAATAGATGTTTTAATGTCGCAGCACCTAAGAGTTGGGTAGGATATAGCTTCTTAAAAACGGCTAGATTTTCTTGTAGATGTGGATGTGTTGTGGCTACGAGATGCTTGCGAAACACCTAATAAAACCCACAACGCCTCTTTTCCAATATGAAATTGTTGCAGGAAAAGTTGTGCCAAAGAAACACTTAGGGCCTGTTTGATATATAACTCTGGTAAGTTCTAAAGCCTAATATGCTTTGAACTACAAAAGTAGAGCATGTTTGATATTACTATAACCAATAAAAGATTCAATTATTATACTTAGCTTGACTTAAAAATCACGAGAAAATGACACAAAAAGTGCCATAACTTTCATAGTGTGCTTACTTCATTGCCACAATTTTTCGAGCGATGACTTGATTGTCAATTTTGGTAAAAAAAAATAATCACTTTAGTGTCATAAATGATTTTTGTGGCCGGAAAATCTAACATGAAACTATCTAAGGAGACTCGCGAGCAAAATAAAGTCGGCATTATTGGACCCAAACAAAGCCGTTTGGCCATCTGTTTGTCCCAAAGTAATGAATTCGGGCAAAATCCTTAATGAAACCTAACTCTAATTCCTCAAATCGGGGCAAATTATCTTTTGAACTTTTTTGCACAATAGACAAATGGAGAAGTGGAAGACAATCGTTTTACGATCGATATCTTTTTACCCTTCAATTTTTCATTCATGCTTTTTAGGAATGCAAATTTTAATGTTGTTGCAACCTGGCTTCTTTGGAGTCGAATCGTCATCTATGGACTGCGGAATGAGGTCCACACTCCAAAGAAATTACAGCGATCCCAGAAATCATCCACTGGACTCGCCGGAGCTTCATCAGTCTCGATTGCAGATTTACAAAGCATGCATCATAGCTTCAAAGAGAGAGAGAATTTAATTAGAATTTTTTCCCTTTTTCAATTTTGTTATGATTTTGGTGGTCACGTTGGGACATAGACGGTGGTTGAAATATGATTGGAAAAGAAAAATGAAGTAAAATGTACAACTGCTAGCCAAAGATGAAGATGAAGAAAATGAAGGGGTATGGCAGTTTTCAATGGGGATTTGACCGAGGGATTTGTCCACGTTGGACTTCAATTTCTTTTAAAATGTCACGTCGGACTTAAAAATTTAATAAAACAGTCACGTAGGACAAATTGCTATAACATATCACTAGAGGCATTAAAATGATCAATTTTTCTTGGATATGGCAATCAAACGATCACTCGAAAAGTTTTGATATTAAAATGAATGACTTACTTAATTTACGATAATTGTGATGTCCCTTATCCTAAAAATCATTTAAACTATATTTGGTACACTATAATCACAGTGCATCTTTTTTTTTTTATACCTTTCTCCTTTTTCCCCCATAATTATTTGCATCCTTTCTTATGGTTTCTAGTCACCTCTACCAATTATAGTGTTAATTTTCTAAGCAATGACGGGTACTTAAAATCCAGTTTTCCTTTTTTGTTTTCAATTTTATTGAGCACGCCTTTAATATCAACTTTTTCCTCTTTTAAGAGACAAGCATAAACTATCCAATAAGTTCCAATAATCCTGTGTAAACGAATGGCTTTGTCATGGGAAAATCACTAAGAAAGTCCTAATTATATTGTAATTATTTCAATTCAGTCCTAAACTTTTTGAAAATTTGCCAATGTAGTCCATCCGATTAATATTTTGCCGAAAATTGCTGACGTGGACGCCGGCCGTCTTACGTGGCGCCACCGGCACTGACACGGACAATTTTTTATTATTTATTCTAATTTTTTTTGTTTTTTGTTTTCTCTCATTTTTTTTCCTTTATCCTTTGTGGTCGCCGGCCTCCTCAATGGCCGACGACTGACCACAAACGAGGGCTGGCGAGGCTTTAGGACTTTCGAATTTAATCCAAGCTCCCACACCCACGTAAGCAAATGCAAAAAGTTATCGACTTTTATGATATCAATTTCTTGATGATTTAAATAATCAATATCTTGATAATCTATATATCTCTAATTATGTATAGCATAATAGGTGCCCTCAGAATGTTCACAATTAACTATACTTTAAAATTTTATATATTCATAATCAACTATACTTAACAAGTGTTTTCAAAATATTCGAGCAGGGCAACATGTGGGAAACGGATAAAATTATAAGACTCCATTTGTTTCGCGGAAAATTAATAATTCGAAAAATATTTTCCTTTTTATTATCGACAATAACTTATATCTAAATATTTTCATGGATGATAAATTTTTCATTCATTTATTTCTGTAGGGCGATACAAGCGATCATTTATAAGGAAAATATTTTTCAAATCATTTATTTTTTACGAAATAAACAGAGATGCGTTGAAAGAGACTTCAATGAACAACCGGCAAATATCTAAAGATGGGTCCTGGTCTTTCGATTTCCCCACCGAACGGTGCCCGTGCCTGTCGGGCTAAGAAGACAAAGCACGTTGCAATTATGTAGATGCGCGGGCCATGCAATAGATTCCTCATGGATCTTTGATTGCTAGTAATGGGATAAAAGACAACCACACTCTATGATGGCTTGGTGCTTTGATATTTTGATATTGATATTGACCTAAACTGCAAGATCCGACTAAGCACAAGCACCCATACATGTCACCGTTCTTGATTTTCCTTGTTGACCAAAAGCCCTAGTCAGAAAGGACAGACAAGTAGATGTTTATCTCTTTGGTTATAGAGATATTTTAGTGTGGTCCGAGCATGAGTCGATGCCATCAGTATCGATATAGATAGCGAGAGCTCGATAAATGCTCCCGGTTCATCCTCCACCACGTGCCATTCGGGCAAAAGACTCCCGATTGCAAATCCGTCGCCGGGCGATGAGCACATGCTTCACCTTGACTCGAATTCTAATTACGAGGTGCTCGATCGCAAATTCAATGCAAGATAGTGCTCATTGGCTTTTGTATATAATAGGACATTTAGTATTTCCTCTCATAAAACTGTCTCTTGCATTCATCAAGATGGCCAGATGGCCAGCAAATCGTTCTTTTGTTTGCAAACTCTTTCATTATTTATATACAAAAAGACACTATCGGCTTCGCTATTATATGCGGATGACATGTCTCTGCCCCCCTGGCCTGTTTGATCAATCAATCATTCATCGGCATTATCTGAACAACGTGAGGCACATGGATCTCCCACGCCCCCGTTTGAGAGATTCTGAAAACTCGGGGAGCGCTTTTCCCACTTTTCCCAGTTCCAAAAGATGGGCGCTAAGGGAGTGAATTGGGTCCCCGCTTATCTGTCTCCACACGACTTCCTTCTTCTTTGCAGATAGAACTCGCTCTTTTTGCAGATGGGCAGATCCGCTTTCATGTGATCGGAAGATGCAGCGTCGAGAATCAGGTTGAGGAAGCACCGAAATCCCAATCCTGTGGTCTTCTCACTTCTGTGTTGTTGCTGTTGTTGTTGTTGTTGGCTAGCTCAGCTGAGTGCACAAAATGACAGAGACTTCAAAGGAATGGATGGGGGTTGATTCTCCGGACCACATGTAGAAAGACCACTGTCTTCACCCCTTCTTTCTTCATCCTTTTTTCTTTTTCCCATACTGAAATATTTCTCCATTAGTCAAGATAAGCGACCAAGAGAGGCTGAATTGGTTTTTCATGAAAACTAAACAGATTTGGTAGAACCAGCCCAAGTAAAAATTTCAGCTTCTGCGCTTAATGAGAACTAGGATATTGCAAGTTCGATTTATAGAGGTTCAGCAGTACGTTCCTACGTCCGCTTTTTCGGCTCTAGCAGCCTAGTTAGGCTGAATCCCGCTAGTTTTGCCGAGAGTGCAAGTATCACCTCCCTACTGGCGTAGAAATTTCTGTCGTGTGCAGAAATAGGCTCCATCTGTAGCTACCCTGCGATATCCGATTGCCATTGAAGCACTTGAATAGCTGCTCCACGCCTTGTGCGCATGACATATTGACTCACCCCTCCAAGTTATAAACCCCATCTCCGTAGTGTTTATAATAGGACCTTCACGCAATTTGTCTTTGATCTAGACGAAACTATCTTTTCCCTAAGTAGAAAAACTCGGAAAAAGTATCAAAAAAGTCATAAATCTTTGACATTTGTGCCAATTTAGTCATAAAACTTTTTTTTGGTGTCAATTCAGTCATAAACCTTTTTACATTGGTGCTAATTTAGTCCTAAACCTTTTTTTGGTGTCAATTCAGTCATAAACCTTTTTGTATTTGTGCCAATTCAATCCTAAACCAAGTCTTTATGCCAATTTAGTCCTTCCGGCCAATTTTGGCCGGATTTTGCTGATGTGAACGCCGGGCGGCCGG